TCCTCCTCCTCCTCCTCCTCCTCCTCCTCCTCCTCCCCCTCCTCGACAAAGCCATAACGCATCGTGAGTCCGACACGCCGCGATGCCACTTACGCCACCACGCCAGCGTGCGTGGATGGCGCTTGCTGCCACTTACGCCACCGACGCCGCTGACGTGGGTGGCGCCTGCCTGCCGCCTGCGCCACCATCTGCAGGGGCAGATGGGCGGCGCTCTCCAAAGCCGCGCTCCGAGACTTCACCAGCGCGAGGAGCCTCGGGCGCGACAGGCGGCTGCAAAAAGGAAGTGCCACTTCTCAATCCCACGGAACATCGGCCCTTGGACGAGATTGGCCAGCGCGTGAGCGCCCCAGGAGCCGTGGGGCTGCGGCCCTGGGCACTCGCTGGCGAGCCTAGCCGAGACGATAGTCCCTCCCGCCCCCCACGCGCAGCACACCACACACCACAGGCCCCCCCAGAGGGAGGATGAGGAGGAGGGAGGAGGAGGGAGGGAGGGAGGGAGGGAGGGAGGGAGGGAGGGAGGGGGAGGGGGAGGGAGGGAGGGAGGGAGGAGGAGGAGGAGGAGGAGAGGAGGAGGAGGAGGAGGAGGAGGAGGAGGAGGAGGAGGAGGGAGGAAGGAGGGAGGAGGATGAGGAGGAGGGAGGAGGAGGGAGGGAGGAGGGAGGAGGAGGAGGAAGAGGGAGGAGGAGGAGGAGGGAGGACGAGGGAGGACGAGGGAGGAGCCCAATCTGGAACGGGTGTGCGGCGTGCGGCTGACCCCAGTCGCCTGCGCGACGCGCGCGCGTGTGCCGTGCCGGCACGCGAGAGCACATGGCGGCGTGCTGGCCGGTGGGGCCCGAGCAGAGAGAGAGCACGGGCCCCGCCTGCAGGCTGCCGCGGCCTGCTGCTGCCGGCGGCCCGCTTCGAAACATGGAAAGCGTCAAGGTCGGCCAGCTCCTCTTCCCCCTCCTCCTCCTCCTCCTCCTCCTCCTCCTCCTTTTCCTGCTCCTCCCCTTCTCTTCCTCCTCCTCCTCCCCCTCTTCCTCCCTCCTCCTCCTCCTCCTCCTCCTCCCTCCTCCTCCTCCTCCCCCTCCTCCTTCTCCTCCTCCTCCTCCTCTTCCTACTCCTCCTCCTCCGTTTCTCATGCTTCCCCCCCACATCCTCCACATCCTCCTCCTCCTCACGGAGCGGGGGGGGGCGGGCTGGGCCCCGGGCCTGCAGCATCTTGCCTGTCTTTTTGTACTCACTCGGCAGGCCGGGGTATAGCCTGTTGCAAGGAGAGCCCCGGAGCCGCATCCCGCAGTCTGCACACCGCCGCCGCCAGGCCCCAACGGTCCCAGTGCTCCCCTGGGTGTCCCGCCTCACGTCTTCGACGGGGGCCGACTGTGTGCCTCTGCCGCCAGGCCCCGAGGGGCCCGGTGTGCCCCGGGTATCCCGCCTCGCGTTCTCGTGTGGGGATCGCTCGAAGCAAAATAAGGGTAAGTCGAGCCTGTCCTTCTACAGGAGGAATATTCAAAAAATAGTACAAGTGAAGGGGCGTTTTTTTAAAACAATTTTTGAATATTTAAGGGTAAGTATGTTTTAATTTTTTTTTACGTCCAAAATCCCCCTGTAGGGGGACAGGCCCGACTCAGAAATAACGGTCTGTCATGTTGTCGCAATCTCTGTGGCCGTTCTTGGGCTCCGAAGCCGTCAACCAGTCCAGGCCGCAAAAACGGATCTTTGACAAGTGATCCGGAGGTCTAGGGGCTACATTTTGAAAAGTCTAGACGTCGGGTTTGAGGATCTAAATTCGAGGATTTGCTTCACAGCTTTCGGCCTGGAGTGGTCCGTTCTGGGCCCTGGGGCTGACGGATGTCGATCCGCGATAGGCCCCAGAGGAGCCTGGGGACTGTGGACCACTTGCGGGCAGATTTGCATTCTTGGATGCCCTCCCCCAGGGGTTCCTCGGATGCGCCCCTGCCGTCGTTCCGGCCTGACTTCTGTGTGCGTCCTGCGTTTTGTTTTCCCCCGCGGGGGTTGCCGAAGGCAGCCGAGCTCTCTCGCAGCTCCGCAGAGCTGGCGGCTGCACGGGCCTGGGCCAGGTGAGCGGGTACGTGAGGGCATACGAGTAAGAGTGGCCGTTTGCTGGAGTGGCTCTTCTGGTGCTCGGCTTTCGGGTGCTGTGGAGGGTTACCAGCCTCGAACGTATCCCTATCCCTAAGACTGACACGCGGAAAGGCGATGACAATCTTAGGGATTCGCCCTCAAAAAATAAGGGAATCCCTAAGATTGGCATCGTAATGAGGAGGTGCCCAGCATAAGGATAGGGATATGTACCAGGCTGGTAAGAGGGGCGCTGAGTCTTGCTCTTCCTCGTTTTCCTCCTGCTCTTCCTCCTCCTGCTCCTCCTCCTCCTGCTCTTCCTCCTCCTCCTCCTCCTCTCTCCTCCTCATCCTCGCTGAGTCCAAGCATGCAGGCCGCTGCTGACCCATCGAGTGCCACGATCGGCAAGTCGCGCACCAAAGAGGCCACTCGTGCCGCTGGCGTGGGGTCCCTCTTGCAGGGCCTCGCTCGGGCGCGCGTGTTTTTCGCGCTCCCTCTCCACGGGGCGTCCGCTGGGCAGCATGTGTTCGTCCTGGCTGGCGCTTTCAACAGGCAGCGGGCGCGTTGTGGCAGCCTATGGAGCTTCGCGGCGGTTCTCCATCTCCTCCTCCTTTCTTTTTTTTTAACCTCTCCACGGGGCGTCCGCTCGCTCCGCACGGGACCGAGCAGGCCGCTCTGCGCAGCTGTGAGGAGTCCGGTCGCCCAATGGCGACGACGACGACGACGACGACGACGACGGCGGCGGCGGCGGCGGCGGCGGCGGCGGCGACGGCGGCGGCGACGACGACGACGACGACGACGACGACGGCCGAGGCGGGATCAGCATAAAATGATGTGGAGACCGCGGCCGAGCGACAGCAAGAGGAAGGGAGAGGAAGGAACGGGGAGGGCGAGGGGGCGGAGAGGGAGGATGTCTCGGGCGACAGGGGCCTCCAGGGCCCCAAAACCGTGCGGTGACGGACCGTGCGGAGAGGTCTTGGGGGATTTCGAGGTCACCGCACGGTCCGTCACCGCACCGCTACTCCAAGCATTCTTTCGGAGCGTCGGATCTCTGGGCAACCCCCGCCCCCCATCGACTCGGGAGCATCGATGGCTGCCGGGAGCAGTGCTGTCGGACGCCGCCACCCTGCCCTCTGCGATGAAGTCGGGCATGTCCCTCTACGGGAGGAGTGCCCCAAAGTAGTAAAAACAAACTTCTGGGGACGCTTTTTTTGGATAAGTTCTGGAGAAACAAATGTATCCGGTTTGAACGCTTTTAGATTCAGCCCAAGCTCCGCCAGTGGGAGGACACGCCCGACCCGCCTCTGTGCCCGCCCCGCGCAGGGCCGCCTCCAGCCCCGCGGCCGACGAGCGCCCGCGCGGGCGCCGCAGCGGCGCGGCGGGCCCCGGCGAGGACCCCGGGCGCCTCGCCCGTGCGGCCTCGGGGTCTCGGGGGCCTTTCGGACCTCCCATCAGCACGAAGGAAATGGGCACGGGAAGAATGGGTACAATGCCCAACAGCGGATCTGGTTCATCTTGAACAGGACTCGCTGTCCACGCCGCCTCGGCCTGTGTCCATTCGAGACAGGAGGCCGCCTGCCAACAGCGGCCGCTGTTGGTCTGGGACAACATGTGTCGTTGGGCATTGTATGCGTTCTTTCCGTACCCATGTCGGGCGTCCAAATCCCAGGGCGTCCCCGTCGCCGGGGCCAGGCTCCCCTCGCAGATTTGCGCGACGGCGGCGACCTCCTCCTCCTCCTCCTCCTCCTCCTCCTCCTCCTCCTCCTCCTCCTCCCCTTCCCCTCCCCTTCTGCGTTTCACGGTCGCCGCCAACTTTTCGGAGACACGCAGCACGGCGTCGCCAGGCGCGCGACCTTGCGTTCGCGGTGCCCCGCGCGGGCCTCCGTCGGAGACGCAGCCTGCAACCTGTGACCCGTAACCTGACGGCGGCGAGCGAAGGGGGGACAGTGAGAAGGAGACGGGGGAGGAGGAGGAGGAGGAGGAGGAGGAGGAGGAGGAGGAGGAGGAGGAGGAGGAGGAGGAGGAGGAGGAGGAGGAGGAGGAGGAGGAGGAGGAGGAGGAGGAGGAGGAGGCGGAGGCGGAGGCGGAGGCGGAGGCGGAGGCGGAGGAGGAGGAGGAGGAGGAGGAGGAGGAGGAGGATGATGCCTCGTCTGTGCGAAGTCGACCGCCCAGAGGCGGCGCGGACAGACTTTCGGGGGTGCCCGCGGAGTCCTCGGCTCGGCTTCGGTCCCCCCTCCTCGGATCCCTTGGCGGCCCCGGGGACCACGGCAAGCACACGGCCGGCGGCGCGCTGCGACCGCGTGCGAGCTCGGACGCCAGCGGCACGGGCGAGCGCTCGGAGGTCCCCGCGGACCCCTTGGCTCGGCTCTGGTTGCTCCAGATTTCGTAATAAAAGGGAGGGGGTCTGGACCCTCCAAGACAAGCCATTTCAGACCTCCCCCGTGGGAGAACCCTCCAAAACATCGTCCCCAGACCCCCCCAGGCCCTCCAAGACAGCCTGGAAGAGACCCCCCCCCCCCGAAATGAGACCCCCCTCCCTTTATTACGAAATCTGGAGTGCCTCTCCTCAAACCTCTTGGCGGCCCCTCCAGCGACGCCCCAGGCGCTTTGCGCGCACCAGGGACATCATCCAGCGCCGACCCAGCACAATTCGCCTGAGCCTGGGCGCTGGGGCACCCGAGGGCCGAGACCGTCCAAGGTTGAAGTGCTTGCGCGGTGTTCGAAACCTGGGCACGCGTCGTCGAGGGCATGGATCTGACAGCTTTCAGAAAGTACTGCCCTAAGCATGGCAGCTGCGCCATGCTTGGGGCAGCTGATTCTGCCCGATTGCAGATGCGCCCCGTGGCTGCGCGATAGCTTGGAGCGGGTCTCCTCAGGAGCGGTGCAGAGATCTCGAGAGTCGCGGGCGGGGCAGCCAGAGCTGGGGCGAAGCGGACTGGATGGACGAGGTGTCGAATCCCAGCACCGTCTCCAGCTTCGACCAGGGGCGCCTCAGCATGTCGGTGCGCTTCCTCGCAGGGCCGATGCGGGACTTGATCTGGCGCTTCAGGTATGCCGCCATCCTGGTGCTGCCTCTCTTGTCTGCGCTGGGCGGCCTGACGGCCTCCCTGGGCCTGTCGCTGGCCAGCGGGGCGCCGCAGGTCTTCGCGGAGCGCACCAACCTGGGCCGCCAGCAGCTGCTGCTCATGAGAAGCTTCAGCTCCTACGACGTCAGTGACCTGGACAAGGCGATCGCTGTCTTCTCGCCGCTGAGCTCCAAGGAGCGCTACTGCCCGGGGCTCCTCCCAGGTCGGGGCGGGTCAACCCCGCGGGATGGTGGAATTTCGTTTCTTCTCCCCGTTTGTTTCTTTACCCGCCTGCTCCCCCCCAAAAGATTAGAACATTGACGCTACATAGAACGATGCCCCCCTGCCTGTCAAGAGAAGTTGGCGAGAACCCTCCCTAGCCTCCAAGACCCACCTCCGAGCACCTCAGGCAGCCTCAAGGTGGCGTCCCGCTTAACCAGAGAGCGAAGTTCAACACGCAAGCGTCAGAAGAGCCCCCCACCTCTCCAGACGTTACGAGGGAGGAGGCGGAGGAGGAAAGGGGAGCAGGAATACTGGGAGGTGGGGGAGGAGGAGGACGATACCCATGATGAAGGAGAGGAGGAGGTCAATAGGAGGATGAGGAGGGACAGGGTGAGGAGGAGGCAGAAGCAGGGGAGAAAGAAGAGGAGGGAGGGGCAGATAAAAGGACGATGCTGAAGCAAGTTAGCCAGGCCGAGCGAGTCGGAGGGCCCCTGTCTAATCCCATCCTCCCGCCTGCAACATTATACCCAATTGTGGCAAGACTCTGCTGGCATTTGGAACGCGGTCTCATTTCGAAAATGGAAGGCGCTCGCGCGCGACCCTGCTTCAGACGCCTTGGCGAAGGGAAGACTCAGCGAGCCGCGCGTGGGCGGGCGCTGCACAGCTTCTGCGGGGCGCGGCGACCCGTTCTCGCGCGGCCCCGCTGCCGCCGTCGCGCTTCCGTGCGGCTCGGCGAGCGAGCCCTGCGCCGCGCCCGCGCTGGAAACGCCGCCTCCGCCCGCGACGTGCCACGGAGCTTGGGCGAAGGGAAGGCGCAGGCGCTCACTCGCGCAGGCCCCCCCCCCCCAAACTGGGCGAGTGAAGCATGTATGCGCCGCGTCGGGGCGGGAGTGCCACTCTGAGGCGACATCTCTGCGCGGCGCCGAGGCGAGAGCTGCACAGGGTTCATTTCTGATTCTTCGGAAGCTCTTCGATGTTTCCGGGGGGGCCAGGGTCCTTTCATCTCTGCTTGTTCTGGCCTGGGCCTCTTCCTGGCCACTGGGGGGCCAGGAAGCATTCGAAACGAGCACGCATAGCAGTGAGCACGATTAGAAATGAGGAGGAGGAGGAGGAGGAGGAGGAGGAGGATCAATAAGCGAAGTTTATGCGCCGCGTCGGGGCGGGAGCGCGCCGCTTCGAGGCGAGCGCCGCGCGGCGCCGCGGCGCGAGAGCTGCCTACCGCTTCGGCCGCTCGCGCGTCGACGAGGCGGCGTGCGGAACAAGCGTGCGCCGCGCCCCGGACGGAAGCCCAGCTCTCCCTCTCCTCCTCCTCCTCCTCCTCCTCCTCCTCTTCCTCCTCCTCCTCCTCCTCGTATCCTCCTCCTCCTCCTCGTCTCCTCCTCCTCCTCCTCCTCCTCCTCCTCGTCTCCTCCTCCTCCTCCTCCTCCTCCTCGTCTCCTCCTCCTCCTCCTCGTCTCTTCCTCCTCCTCCTCCTCCTTCTTCTCCTCGTCTCCTCCTCCTCTTCTCCTCCTCCTCCTCCTTCTCCTCCTCCTCCTCGTCATGATCGCGGCGCCGAGGCGGGAGCGACATTGCGGCCTTTTGCGCGGGAGGTGCGCCCCGCCTCCTTCTTGGCGCGCGCTTTCTGCAGCATGGACGGCGCCGCGTTCGTGCGGAGGCGAAGGAGCACGGTTGCTGGATTGTTTTGGTCCAGGTTTCCTAGATAGGATCCGAGGAGCACCTGATAGGTCCAGGTTTCCTAGATAGGTTTTGCAGCATGGACGGCAGCACGCACCACCACGCCGCCCCAGGAGCGCAGCCAGCGGAGTGCCTCTAGGCCTCCTAGATGGGGTCGGAGTAGATGGGGTCGGAGGATCGCGCCGCATGGCCGATGCATCGACGATGCGGCTCGATGTGGGGCCCGTGTTTCCCCACGCCGACGTCGCCGATGGAGTGCCGATGCATCGCCGATGCATCGCCGATACATCGGCGATGCATTGGCGATGCGGCGCGATCCTTCGACCCCAACTACTCGGACCCCATCTAGGAGGCCTCTATTTGGACAGGCCTGACTGGGCATCCGGGATCTGGGCCCGATCGGCCGGTCTCGTGGCAGAGTAGGAGTGTTGAGTATACCAGTCAGTAAGAAGGATCGGAGGGAAGGGTGAAGGAGGATGCAGATGGAAAGGGCAGGGGATGCAGGAGAGGGTACATAAGGAGGAAGAGGGATGGGGGAGGGGGAGGGGGACCAGCTATGTGCGCTCGCGTCATATCTGACGTCCTACCCCTCCCTCCCATCCCTTACCATGGCGCTGATTTTCTCTATCCGCGGACGCGTGTCGTAGCGGACCTGTGGCTCCGCGCGCGCGTGCGTAGTGGGTGGTGGTGCGCGTGTGTGCGTGCGTGTGTGCGTGGTTGTGGTTATGGTGGTTGTGGTGGTGGTGGTGGTGGTGGTGGTGGTGGTGGTGGTGGTGGTGGTGGTGGTGTGTGTGTGTTGTGTGTGTGTGCGTGTGTGCGCGTGTGCTGTGGTGTGACGTGGTGTGGCGTCCTGGTGGTTTGGTGGTGGCGCGTGCGTGCGTGATGGCGGTGGTGGTGGTGGCGGTGGTGGTGGTGGTGGTGTGTGTGCGTGTGTGTGGGTGTGTGTGTGTGTGCGTGTGTGTGTGTGTGTGTGTGTGTGTGTGTGTGTGTGTGTGTGGTGTGTGTGCGTGTGTACGTGTGTGTGTGTCTGTGTGTGTGTTTGTGTGTGTGTGCGTGCGTGCGTGCGTGCGTGCGTGCGTGCGTGCGTGCGTGCGTGTGTGTCTGTGTGCGCGCGCGTGTGATGTGGTGTGACGCGGTGTAGCGTGGTGGTGGTAGGTGGGGTAGTGGGGTGGTGGTGGTGGTGCGCGTGCGTGCGTGCGTGCGTGCGTTGGTGGGTTGAAGTGGCGGTGGGCGGGGCGGGGCGCGGTGCGGTGGTGGCGGGCGGATGGGCGCGCGAGGAAAAGGCCCGCGCTGGGGCGAGAACGCCATCCTGAACGACGGAGGCAAAACACCGATCCGAAAATGAGACCCACGCTGCAGCGGGAGCACGATTCGGAACGAGCGGGGCCCGAAAATGAGGCCGGCGCATCAGCGAGAGCAGCATTTTGGAAAAAAGGCAGGCGAAAACCCAACTCCCGGGAATCGTGTGTGTGTATGTGTGTGTGTGTGTGTGTTTGTGTGTGTGTGTGTGTGTGTAAAAAAGCAGGACGCGGGGGGGGGGGCGAACACTCCCAGCACGTCATCAGGGGAAGGAGGATAATAGTATTCATATTGAGTAATTGTCGAGGAGGAGGAGGAAGAGGAGGAGGAGGAGGGGAGGGTAAACCTAAGATGTCCATGTCGGGCTGCCGATGTCCTACGTGTTGTTCGCCGCGTCCCGTTGTGTTGCCTGCATTCAGTCGTCGTTTCTGGTTTGTCCCCTTCTTTCTGCACGTCCGGGGCGGAGCTTTTCGTGGGCCGCTTGGGGGCCTCGGGAGCGGTCTTTTGGGGGCCCCTAGAGGCTCGTGGGTGCGTCTGAGCGCCCTCTAAGAGCATCTGGGGAGTCTTTGGGGTACCTTGGGGGCATGCTGGGCGTCTTGGGGGCCATCTTGTGGGGGTCGGGGGCTCGCGGAGCTCCTACGAGTTCCCCCTCTCTCGGGCCTGTCGATCCCTTCTTGGGTCTCTCTTGAGTTGAGCTCTTTTTGGGCCCGTCTTGGGTCCGTGTTGGGGGCCTCTTGGGCAGTCTTGGGGCCCTCTTGGGCCATCTCCGGGGCCTCTTCGGCCTTCTGGGTCGAATCGGGAGGGCTTCTCGGGCCGTCTCGGGGTTCAGAACCACGAAATGGCGATACTGCCACCACCATGAATGATTTCGGCCTCTTGAGGCCGTCTTGCGAGTCCTCATCGGCCCTCTTCTGGCGCCTCTTCGGCGAGTTGGAGGTATCTTGGGCATCTTGAAGGCCGCGATTGGGGGGATTTGGAAGCTCCGCGGGCCAGGCAGGTGCGCCGGGGATCTTGTCGACCCCCCCCCCATGTACAGTGCCGTTTTTAATACATGCTCCGCGTGCGGACCATGTATTCAAAATACAGGTTTTAGTCATACATACAAGGATGAGTTCATGCATACATTTACTCATAACTTAATCATGTATTTTAATCCTATATGTTTTAAAATCCAATGTATTAAATACTGCCATGTAACCAGATTTTGGACCCCAGGGGCGGGGAAAAGGGAATGGGAGACGGACGGACGGACAACTATCTCACACGCCGTTTCACCCCCTTGCAAGCGGGGATCCGGCAGATTCCTGTTCATTGCGGATTGTGCCCCCTTGAACGACGAGTGGCCCCTTGTCCTGCAAGATGGACGACAGCCCCGTTCTGAAAAGGGAGCTGAGACTTTCATGCTTCTAGCTATAAGGGTGACCTCGAAATAGGATCAGAAAGAGTCCAAGGTCGTGTCCAGTGAGATCGCTGTTTGTGCAAGAGCAGCCTTGAATCCGTGCACACATTTTCGAATTTCTAGCATCTTCTTCATTCAATCTATGGCAGTCGAGTGGGGGACCCGATTTGAACAGGAGCGGGCCTCGTTCCGTGTAGCTGTTGCGCAGTATCCAGTGCTTGCTTGTATGGCGTAAGGGGGCAGCAAACGATATCGGAAGCGTTCAAGACGATTGTGCGCGGCGCTACGGTGGGAGCCACGTTCTGAAAACGGCCTAGCCTCCATCTGTCTGGCCGTCGGAAGCTTTTCACGCACACGTGCGCGCGATGCTGAGGCCAGTGCTGCACGTTGGAGACGGTCCCCTACTCCCTCCGTGCAGTTGCTGGAGGCCTTCAAGAGGAACGCTGGTGGCCTTCCTCTTCTCCGACTGCGGCTCCAGCACCCACTCCCATCTGTCCGACCCGGCTGCCATTTCCCGACCCCGGCTTCTGAGCGGCCAGCCTAATCCGGCGCCCCGGCGCCCTCCCGCCGCACCCTCGTAGGTGCCTCGACGCGGGCTCTTGTATTGTCTTGTCTTGTCTTGTCTTGTC